GTCACACCCAGGAATTTTTCCACAAAATTGTTTTGCTCATTACTTTTCTCAATGAACTTTCCATACATTTAAGGTGTGCATTTATCGTCGCTTGAAGTAGGAATGGACTGGATGTAGCACCAAATTTTACCTCCTAAAGCGAAAAGGGTTTTCCCGAGGGCTAAGTGGGTCACTAGGGTTCTCAGGCCATAAGAAGCAGGTACAATCCCGGTCAGCCTCTTGTAAACCCACTCTTTGGAAAGCTTTACTTATGTCAGCCGTAAAGGCATAATTCTTTACTCTGAAATTTAATAAGATATCTCCTAATTTTTCCGTCAACAACGGACCTGTCATCAAACAGTCATTTAAACTAGGTTTCATTTTGTACTCCTGGCACTAAAAATTAAACCAATTTCAGAGGAGGTCTAGAATCCTTCTTCACTCCGTGAGTGGCAAATTGTGACCATAAATTTTGGCTTGCTCAGGAGGTACCTCCCTTTATAAATTTATTAATAAACTGCCAGCAATTATATCAATTATAGGTAGTTAACAATTCTGGCTCTTTCCAGTTCGCGGGAGCTGAGCCCTTAACTGTCTATATGCCATTCTAATTATGGGCATTGATGGGTCAGTCTCCCGAATCGACCCATATTGTCCAGGTTCAAATTTACATCTCTCAGGTATTGCTCCTGGGGTAAAAGAATGTCGGACTTTCTTCATTTACATATATTCCCAATGCTGTCTAATTCCCACAATTTATGCACTGGCTCCAACACCATCCTCTTGGAAGAATTATACTGGGGTACGATTTCAGAGTAAGACACACAGTATGGATTGTTGTTTCCTCTAGTCATGAATTAATATACGAGGAATCCTACCCATTACAATTACATGGCCTCCTGGGAGTCTTCAAAAGGGTGACACCACATTTCTTTACCATACCCTTTACAAAGGAGGCATAATAGTCACTACCTATCAAAATATTTATTGGGCCTACAGAATCATCACTTACACCAGAAGGTGCTAAATTTACATTATGTGAGAGTCTTTCTGTAGCTTTACTAAGCCCTACTGTAGATATTTTATCTGGAAGTCTATCTACAATTACTGCATTAACACGTTTTATCTCATTGCCCAACCTGACAGTTACATAAACAGTGTCATACAATTGAGCCCTTTTATCCAAGAGAAAACCAGATAATTTTAAAGTTGTGGGATCTCCCATCTGTACTTTCATACCATCAAGACATTTACGTTTTATGAAAGTACGCTGGGATCCCTGGTCCAATAATGCATTTACATTTTTTTTATTTATGCCTTTTATCATCAATTTTTACCTGTAACACAGGTAAGGCTACTTAAGCAAAACCATCATTATTAATATTAGCAGAAATTTTTACGTTAGCTACTGTTGTGTCAGGATTGTCAACATTATCATTATTATCAACATTATCATATAGACCTTTACACATGACTACATGGTGTCTTCCTTTGTGACATTGATAACAGTTGTTTAATTTAGCATGACAATCCTTTACATTGTGATTACCTAAACATCAATGTTACATAGACAAGTAGGAATTTGGGACACCTAGGTCGCAAAAAATGTCCCCCTTCGATACTTACCACTGTCATATCCACAAGTTGCTCTGGACCTATTAATTATAAATGAAATATATATCACCAGGAGTTCTGGTAAATATATAAATTTGTGGACTGTATATTAAAAATGATAAATGGTTTTATATATACACAATTACATAACAGAAGGAAAATATATCTTAATATCACTCACCAATTTGACTGGATATTAAGTTTTATCATGCTCAGAAAAACCTCACTAACTAAATTTATGAAAACACTGGCCAGAATTATACACAAATCTAGAGAGCTCATCTGAGGTTCCTGGAGCTGTCTTCTCCAGTCGTCTGATATCTCAAGTTATGCAGGAATGCATGTCTAACAATTTCGCCTCCTATTTGAGAGGTGTCAGCCCAATTTTAACCTCTAGAGCACGAAAATTCCTTCCCATTGAACTAACGTTGTATCCAATTCAAAACCAAGATGGCAAGTCTCGTCTGCGCAGACGCAGGCTTTCCGTTTTCTATGACATAAATATCATTAAATACAGTATGGCCATCTATTTACATATAAATACTGAATCTCTGGAAAATATATACAGTATTTTCCACAAAGTATGTGTGATGTCACCGTTGTTGTTCAATATATTTACAGATGGGGTTGTAAGAGAAGTGAATGTGAGGGTCTTGGCAAGAGGTGTGGAGATAAAAGATAAAGAATCAAACACAAAGTGGGAGTTGTCACAGTTGTTCTTTGCTGATGACACTGTGCTTTTGGGAGATTCTGAAGAGAAGTTGCAGAGGTTGGTGGATGAATTTGGTAGGGTATGTAAAAGAAGAAAATTAACTGAATATAGGAAAGAGTAAGGTTATGAGGATAAAAAGATTAGGTGATGAAAGATTGGATATCAGATTGGAGGGAGAGAGTATGGAGGAGGTGAATGTATTCAGATATTTGGGAGTGGACGTGTCAGCAGATGGGTCTATGAAAGATGAGGTGAATCATAGAATTGATGAGGGGAAAAGGGTGAGTGGTGCACTTAGAAGTCTGTGGAGACAAAGAACTTTGGCCATGGAAGCAAAGAGGGGAATGTATGAGAATATAGTTGTACTAACACTCTTGTATGGGTGTGAAGCATGGGTGATGAATGTTGCAGCGAGAAGGCTGGAGGCAGTGGAGATGTCAAGTCTGAGGGTAATGTGTGGTGTGAATATAATGCAGAGAATTTATAGTTTTGGAAATTAGGAGGTGTGGGATTATTACCAAAACTATTATCGAGAGGGCTGAGGAGGGGTTGTTGAGGTGGTTCGGACATGTAGAGAGAATGGAACAGAATGACTTCGAGAGTGTATAAATCTGTAGTGGAGGGAAGGTGGGGTAGGGGTCGGCCTAGGAAGGGTTGGAGGGAGTGGGTAAAGGAAGTTTTGTGTGCAAGGGGCATGAACTTCCAGCAAGCATTTGTGAGCATATTTGATAGGAGTGAATGGAGACAAATGGTTTTTAATACTTGAAGTGCTATTGGAGTGTGAGCAAAGTAACATTTATGAAGGGATTCAGTGAAACCGACAGGCTGGACTTGAGTCCTGGAGATGGGAAGTAGTGTCTACACTCTGAAGGAGGGGTGTTATTATTATTATTATAATCAAGGGGGAAGCGCTAAACCCGGAGGATTATACAGCGCCTGGGGGGGGGATGTGGAAGTCATTCAGGCTTAATTCGGGGAACTGGAGCACAGATCCAATTCCCTAAATCAAGAGCCCCTCACCAACATCAAGGAACCTTCCTTGAGGGGAGGAGGGGTGTTAATGTTGCAGTTTTATAACTGTAGTGTAAGGCGTCCCTCTGGAAAGACAGTGATGGAATGAATGATGATGAAAGTTTTTCTTTTTTGCACCACCCTACCTTGGTGGGAATCAGCCGATGTTAATAAAAAAATAGTAAAAAAAATTATTGTATTATTCAAATTTACACATGCTGAATTTAGGAAAATCCAAAATTTTCTTCATAAGGTATATTGTAAGGGAGTGGTTAATGGGATTTTATTAAGTGAGGTACATTGTAAGGGGTGGTTAATGGGGTTTTATTAAGCAAGGTACAATGTAATGGGTGGCTAATGGGATTTTATTAACCAACATCAAGAAACCTTTCTTGAGGGGTATAAGGGGTTGATAATGGGGTTATCAAAAAGAAGCACTAAACCTACAAGGGTCATGGAGCACAGTGGAGTTATATTAAGTGAGGTATTATTGACCCAAGGCAGGAAAGGATCCCATATATATTAAGAGATTCTTAACATTTTTACAATTACAGGCACTTTAAGTAACAGAAAATTTAAATTATGATAATGAGGGGGAAGAGCTAGACCCATAAGTCATAAATAAAAAAAAAAAGCACAATACCGTGACTGGAACAATACACAAACAACTCACACATAGAAGAGAGGAGCTCACGACAATGCCTTGGTCCGACTTGGACCATTTACAAAGCCACACTGCGTGACTTTGTAAATGGTCCAAGTCGGACTGAGGCGTCGTCGTGGGCTCCTGTCTTCTATGTGCGGGTTGTTTGTGTATTGTGTACCATAAGTCATACTGCACTAGGAATGGGGGGGGAATTAGGTTCAATCCAAGGCAGGAAAGAGGTCCAGTTTCTTCAATGAAGAGTCCATCACCTGCATCAAGGTGCCTCCCTTCAGGGAACTGATGATTTAAAACTGTGATAGGGCACAGTTGGAAGCATAATCAATTGTGCAGGGTGCTTCAAAATGGACCCAATTGGGTCCATCGTTTTGAAACACCCTGTATATTAGTGAGTGGTGGCTCTGAATTAACCATCCATGCCTGCACAAGCATCTGCAAGGTCATTATTATCATGGGGAGCACTGGACTTGTAGGGATTATGCAGCGACTCTGGAGGGAGGGGGATGTTAGGGATTCAGGCTTAATTCAGGGAATTGGAGCAGATATAATTCCCTAGATCAAGAACCTCTCAGCATCAAGGAACCTCCTTTGAGGGGAGTCTGTTAATGAGCAGCAAACTGGTAGTCACACTAAGATCACAACCTCAATATACATTCTGGTACTTTCAGGCAAACATCTATAATGATTGCTGTTACACTTTTAATTAAGCCAATGCTAGCTCAGTATTATTATTCTTGGTGAAAGGTTCATAATCTAAGCAATTTTATCTATTTTCCATTTCCCTTAACTGAACTTTATTGTCTGCTATTCCTCCAGGTGCTAGAAGACCGCTGTGGGTTAAACACTGCTAACACAACTAATAATAATCTGAGGACAGGTTATTACTGAAGTGCTAAACCCACAAAGATCATGCAGCACCTGGGGTATGGGAGGTAAATGGGTTTGATCCAAGGGGTCATTGAAGTGCCCTTCAGTGACCCCTTAAAATGATCTGGAAATTAAGGGCATTAAAAATACAACTTAAAAATTTCTTTTATTAAGAATACAAACTAACCTATTAAGCAAATACAAAATGTTCTCTGAAACTATAAAGAATATCTTTATTAATTACCACTCTTCTGTATTATCATTCTTTGGCTTTTATTGCTATACGCCCAGTACATTATTCCTAATTACATTTAACATATGGTATATTACTCACTCAAAATTTGCAGGATCTCAATTTGTGAATTAAAAAAAAAAAATTCACCAGGCCACAGTGCCCTGTGGCCTGGTAGCTAAAGCTCTCGCTTCACATGGCGAGGGTCCAGATTTGATTCCCGGTGAGGGTAGAAACATTGGGAGTGTTTCTTTACACCAGTTGTCTACGTTCCCCATCAGTAAAATGGGTACCTGGGTGTCAGTCGACTGGTGTGGGTCGCATCCTGGAATAAAACTGACCAAATTTGCGAGAAATGCTCTGCATAACAAGGGGCTTTCTATATAGCAGTATGTCACTGATGTCAGCTATGGCCTGTATACCTTGTACATGTACTTAAAGAAATAAACATTTTACTTTATTATATTAAAAAATGTCATTTAAAGTCCTGATTGCAGATGGTTTACACAGACAACACTTAGTGGTTTTCTCAGGTTTTGTGTTTGAACTCTGAGCACATCCTTGCAAATTTTGAGCACTGTAAATGTACTCCACCCAGCAGTGACACTTTGTAAATCATTAAGATACATTCCACTGCAATATCTATACTCTTGCACTGCAATATCTACACTTGCAAAGTGACAAACCACTTAGCTATATAAAATACAAGTTAGAGAAATTTGTATACATGTACTTCAACATCAGTTAGAGGCCAATTATTTTAATCATGGAGAAAGTGCTAAACCTATTGGGATCATACAGCTCCTAGGGAATGGGAGGCTTTCAAGTTTGATCCAAGGAAGAGAAGAATAAGTCCAGTTCACTAGATAAAGACTTTCTCACTGGCATCAAGGTGCCTCCCTGGAGGGTCTTACAAGCTGAAATATACAGTTCTTTCCAGCAAGTGTCTGACATTGCTTTGCATCCATCACTATTACCCTTTAATCCACTCAGGTTCAGAAAAGATATATCCTATGCTAATACAGACTTTTTTTTTTAAGTAAGCCTACAAACATTTAGAAAAAGAGCCCAATAAAGAAATTCATGACCTATTGGCCTGAGTTTTCTGAATAAATTCGATGAACACGTTTAGACATAAAATACAGATGTGAGATTGTCAATAAAAATATTAGGTGATGTGTAAATCATAAGGATTTCTTCCTTATCAGTCATTACAATTGATACCATTATCAATCTTTTAGGTGGAGACTGATGGGTACAATAATCATTAAGAGCAACCACTAAACCTTGTGGGGTAATACACTGCCTGGGGAAAGGGAAACAGTCAGGCTTGTTCCAAGAAAGAGGTTAGATCCAATTCCTTGGACCAAGACATATCACCTCCAAGAACATCCTGTGGAGGGATGTATATAATAAAAAAATTGGATTAAAAATAATAAATATCCATTGATTAAGAATAGGAGTTCCAAGTTTCAAGGACAGTGATGGACACTGGAACTCAGTCTTACAGTAACATATGAGGCACTGAGAGGCAGAAACAAATAAATGCCACCATGGCCAAAATCTGGGTTAGTGAACAAATGGATTCCTCAATGGCAGACCATATCAAAAGTAGACAAGCGGGAATAAAGATACTGGTAAAGAATTAGACATATGTACAACACTGGGTATAAAAATATCCAGATGAACATGTCTAATTCTTTATCTTGTTGGTATTGTATACCATACATATACAGGATACTGGCAGCAAAGGATCCTTTTAGTACAATGTTTCACTCAAGGTCAGGCTTTATCAAGTACACAGCAACCAGTAAACACACTTGCTCTTGCAGTGACCTTGTGTGTGAGGTGTCTTTCTCTGAGCCTGACCTCATGATCCCCATTTGCCTTTTCAGTAGTAGTATTTGCTCATTCTTGTGTACTTGAAAAACCCCAGCCTTGGGTGAATCCTCTGCTACTAATATCTTTATTTCCAGATTGTTTAATGTTTTGCCTGTGGGAAAGTGCAGATGTTGTCTTCTGCATCTCTAAGTTAGGATTAGAGCCTGATAAACTATGGTGGCTTGACCTTCATGGCTCTGATCTCCCATATGCTTGCATTTTACTCCATTGCTTGAATATGACACTTATTCTTTTCTGCTGCATAACACAACACCCCATATTCATAGATGATAAACCCAAGGGTCATACACCACCTGGTCATCTCATACACATGCAAGTTCATAAAAATCACAGAGTAAAAAAAAAAAAAACTGTTTAAGAAATAAATTCCTGATTGATAAATCAATATCTCAGATAATACTAGGGATAGTCCAGAGAGCAGAGCATCCATGTTATCTTAACCACAACAACATTATTACATTTATGTGAAGTACTGAGTGTGGATGATTCAATGCAACAAGCTGGCTCCTCCATCCTTTAAAAGTACATATGTGATAAATGCAAATTCAGCATTATATTGTATGGTAATAAAATACAATAAGCATATGCTGTACAGTATTTATTATTATTTTTATCATCATCATCATCAGAAGGAAGCACTAAACCCATCATACAATGTGTGGAGTGGGGATGGGGGGGGGGGGTGTTAGCACCACTGTCCTTGATGCTTCATGGTGGAACTGATGCAACATATGGTGAACCAACACTCAAGATGCAACCTTTTAAACGCCTCTTTTGAGATACGAGGTTCCCCCGACAGACAAACACATTTTAAGATGCAAGGTTCCCTCGATTGACAACACCTGCTTTGAGATAGAAGGTTCCCTCAATTGACAAACACCCGTAGCAATTTTTGTAAGTAGATGAGAATTCACAAAACAATTATTTTCTCAAGACAATATTACATATTTTGGATCTTAGTCATAAGTGTAGATAATAACTCTAAAAATGCTGCTTTTGAGTGTTGTGTACACAAACATGAAGTATGTGTGACGAGGCCTAATCACAGACCGGGCCATAGGGGCAACGACCCCTGAAACCTCCTCCAGGTATACAAATCAATATTACAGCATAGACATATTCCCTACATTTAATGATAATTATAAATACTGAAATAAGTACCATTTTGCAAACTATGGTCAAGAAACTGCATGAACAACTAAGCCAAATATACAAAAAGTAAACAAGAGGTCACATGTAAAATGGAACAATCCTCTCTGGTGGAACAAAAAATTCAAAATGCCCAATTACAAGGCAGCATTGTTTATTATCACTGGTGAAACTCAAGTTCAGGAATAAAACCTGCTAAACTTCCTCTAGGGCATGAATTACTGAGTTTCTATTTCTTCCCATAGCATATACAGTATTAAAAATATATTACAAGTAAAAAAATAGCTGCTTTAATTACTGCCTGTATAGATTAAACAATCATTATTAGTACTGTACATCCATTTTCCCCACTCATGGGATGGGCAATTAGACACACACTGATTGTTATATTCATAAACAATGGTAAATCCATCATGAATTTTTCAGGAAGCTGCTATACAGTATTACTAATAGACTAAATACCTTAATGAAATTATTTGTTTGGCAGGAGTGGGGGGAGGAGGGGAGGATGGAACAGTGCACAAAGTTCATAACTAATATTTACTCTTTACATGAGCACATTTCCTCTGTTCACCCCTCCCTTTCAGATACATAAATACTACCGATTCACTAGTCCCTAAATACAGTCATATACAGATTATTCTCTAAAACACATTATGTACACTGAGGATCCCAGAAGGGAGTCGAAATATACAGATCAATCAATCTTATGAGTTTCTGTCTCCATGTGGGTTATTACTGATCACTGACAAGTGTTCATTACACTTTAGTTATTCATTAAGAGGAAAATGGAAGGAAGTGATTGTAGCCAGATACAGTAGTCATAATTCATGCCATTTACACAACTGCATTAAATAAATCCTTCAGATCACCTGCAATATGGACTGTCATCTGCTTCATAATTGTTCAGACAGAATACTGTACATTACATACTGTAAAAGGAAGACTAGCATTCACATTACCATGATTGGAACAATTCACAGCTATCCCACAAACTAGAGATTAATTTTTAGGATGACATTCCTGATTGTCCATGATTATCATCATGATTAAGGTGGAAATCTAGAGTAAGGTATAGTGAAAGCCAAGGTCAGGTCAGGAGAGGTTGCAAGACAGATGACTTCATCTAAAACACAATACACAAATAACCTGAACATAGGAGAGAGAAACTTACTATGACATTTCAGTGTGACTTAAACCATTTACAAAGTACACAGTGTGACTTTGTAAATGGTCCAAATTGGACTGTAACATCGTTGTTAGCTTCTCTTTCCTATGTGCATTATTTGTGTACTGTTCCAGTCACAGTACTGTGCCTTTTTATTCTTTATGAAGCCTTTTTATTCTTTGGAAGCCATGAAAGAGAGGTTGTTGCAATAATTTGCTTCATTATATTGATGGGATGGAATACTGGCAAGTTGATGAATAAGAGATGCATAATGCTTGGGTATCTTCAATGATGAGATTTGTTGTCTGAGCAGCAGGTTTTCTCACTCTAATACTGGAGATTTCTAAATTGTATCCAGCATAAAAATCCTCCACTGTACAAGACTGAAAAGCAAGCCAGCCTGATGTGCATGCACATTATTTATTATCAAGTTAAGTTGACTAATTATTATTATAATCAAAAAGAAGCGCTAAGCCACAAGGGCTATACAGCGCTGCAGGGCAGGAAGGAAGCGAGGGCATCAGGTGGCAAAAGGAAGATGGATGAGTAATAGGTTACGGATAACAGCGGGGCAGTGGATGGTGAAAGGGTAAAGGGCAGCAAGAGACTGAACTAGAAAGGGCTGAGGGGAGTGCGAAAGGTATCATCATCAGAGTTTGTGGAGTAAATCAGTCGTTGTCAAGAAGTCAATGAGAGAGTCAGGATTAAAGGAGGGTCCATCAGCAAGAAGGGAAGGTAAAGAGAGAGTAGTAGAACGAAGACGACGTTGGAGGTAAATTCTGCATGCTCGATGATAGAGAGGGCAGTCTAACAGAATGTGGCTAATCGATACTGGAACTTGACACTGCTCACAGAGAGGAACAGGGTGCCTTTCCATGAGATACCCATGAGTAAGACGAGTGTGGCCTATGCGAAGGCGGGAGAGAGTGGTCTCCCAACCTCGGCACTGATGACAAGAAGACGGCCAGTAACCTATGCTCGGTTTTAATAGAATGAAGTTTGTTACCGAGCAGAGTTGACCAACGTTGTTGCCAACGGGTGTGAAGGTGGGTAGCTATTGCAGCAAAATAGTCCAGAAATGGAACACCTCTATAGGAAATTGGTAGGTCATGTAATGCTGACCGCGCAGCAGTGTCTGCCTGTTCATTGCCCTGTACGTCGACATGACCAGGGACCCAACAAAAAACAATATCTTTATGCTTGGTAGAGATACGGCGTAGCCAAGTTGGATACGGAGAACTAGGGGGTGAGATGTATCAAATTTTCGTATAGCCTGTAGAGCACTAAGGGAGTCTGAGACTACCACAAATGATGACACAGGCATAGATGCGATACGAATAAGTGCTGCAAGAATGGCATACAATTCAGCAGTAAAAATGCTAGCCGAAGATAGTAAATGCCCTCGCACGATGCTGTCTGGAAACACTGCTGTGAATCCGACGCCGTCTGAAGACTTAGAGCCATCTGTGTACACAGTGATGGCATGAGAATAAGAGTGGAAGTGATCAAGAAAAAGAGAGCGGGAAGCCACTGTAGGCAGTTGGGCTTTCGAGCAAGGGAGTGAGAAAGAACAGACCCGAACAGCTGGAACTTCCCAGGGGGGTAGGGAAAAGTGAGATGCTATATGAACATATAAAGGTGGTAACTGAAGGGAAGACAAGAGCGAATGTAGGCGAAGAGAAAAGGGATGGAGCAAACAGGGGCGGCGAACAAATAAAGAATGTCTACTAATATCGGTGACCATTCTATAAATGGAAGGATTGTGGAGATCGTGAGAGCGTACATAGTAGCGAAGGCAATGGGCATCACGGCGATCAGACAAGGATGGAACATTCGCTTCTGCATAGAGGTTCTCAACAGGGGAAGAGCGAAAAGCACCAAGGCATAAACGTAATCCTTGGTGATGGATGGGGTTAAGGCTAGAGAGAGTAGCAGGATAAGTTGATTAAGATGGTGTGGAGCAAGATAGGTGACTATAAACATACTCCAAAAAATGAGTTAAGATAGTGTGAAACATGATGGGTTGATGAAGAGAATGCATCAATCTGGGATGGATGGATGGACATGTGGGGAGGCAATAAACAGTCACACATGTGACTGTTAGATCAGAGTCAATGAAGATTTAACATAGGAGAATGGTTTAGAGGTTTTGATGTGTGGTTGGTGCAAGGGTCTGGCTTGAATCCCCCTCAAAGTGGTACTCTGAGGGGAATTCAGCAAACTAGCTAGTTGAACTAGAGTTTTAGTGGTGGGAATCTTGATACCTACAGTTTAAGAATCATTCATTAATGCTGTTTAGCCAAACTATGAAAACTTTCTTATGCCAGGAGCTGTGACTCTACCCCTGCAACCACATGCAGGCGAGTACACATTACTCCTTCAAGGTGAAGCCTTGATGCTACTGAAGCCCTCTCAATGTAAAGAATTTCAGATACCATTACATGCAGTTTGTGGCATTTCATTGAAAAGATGTTTTATACCATAAGCCACATAAAGTATCATGTCTTATTTACATAACTTGTTAATATATTTTACCACTGATACACAGTACATTCAAACTGGTCTTCCCTTCTCCTGATCACACTTAATTACCTCCCATTCGTAGGCACTCAATGACTATGAATATAGCACTTCCTCATGCACAAATAATCCGCACATAGGAGAAAGAAGCTCATAATGACATTCGGTCTGACTCTTATCGTTTCCTCGTAAATATAATAATAATTACCACCCACTCCCCAGGCACTCTATGACCCCTTACAGGTTTAGTGCTTCCCAATGGCTATAACAATAATAATGCCCAAGTGAGTAGAAATTACAGTTGAAGCATCGTTCCAGTACTGAATCATAGTTGTACAATGCATAAAAACAACTAAAATTTAACACAGATTTAACAAACTATTTATAACCGTTCGCATTAATGCCTCAAGTGTCATATTCATTACAGGTAAAAAACATTACAAACAGTCTATAAAGAGATATAAAGTATAACAACAATCACTAGGAAATATATTTCAAATCATAACTCACTCTACACAAGATCTTTACTCCAAAAATAAAAATCATTAAAATAACCATATATGTTGTAAGTACAGCATCAGGTGTTTTACTTATTCTATCTTGCATGTCTCTGCTGTATGACTAAGAAAAAAATATAAAAGCATAAAAGAAATGGACTTCCTAAGCCTCAATACAGAGTTCAGTAGTGTAGCAAACTTTCACTCCAGAAAATATTGCTTGTATTTATTCAACTTCACACAAACAGTGGTTAAGAAACACCTTATTTTCAATTAATAAAACCCTTTGAAAATCTAAAAGTCAAGAAAATAAAAACAAACTTTCACCCAGAAACCTTTGGATTTTGAGACTGATCTACCAAAATAATTAGCAGCTTCAAATGACACATGACCAAACACTAGCATGTGGTTATTAGAAATATTTCAGTCATAGGACTTTGATCACTTCAGAGGCGACCAAGGTTCCAGGACCTTGACCAGAGGCAATCAAGGTTCCAGGACCTAAATGTTTTTAATAAGTACATCCTGGTGTTTGCTTACTCATCTTTTTCGACCACCTGTCAGTATCAAGTACCAAGGTTAATATCAAAATAATTAGCTCTACTTATCCTGATGGAAGTGAGGAAGTACCCACTGCAAACCGATGCTTCAATCAGCCCAGCACCCTGCTAAGACACATAAAACTATAAATGGAATCAGAACTTACGGGTTTTGAGATCTTTTAGTATTATACACGCAGCTTTTAACTAACTTTTATTCATAAAAAAGTATTCACCAATAATGAAAAATAAACTCACCATTCAATTAAACCTTAATGTTGTCCATGCATTCAAGAAAAGTTTTACCAAAAGAAATGCAATACCTCCATACAGAAAGAAATGCTGTGCTTTTTAGGTTGCGCTTGCAGGAATATAAACTATGGAACAGTTGGGATTTGAACCCATGGCAACTGAGTCTTAAAACTCCAGCTAGTGTGTAAACCACTCAGCCAGCTGGCCTGGAGTTTCATCAAATCCCACCCATTCAGTGGTTTGTTTGCAATCGTGTTATTATGATTTCATGAGTCACCTCGGAGAAATATAAAACAATAATCATTTTGCCAAACAAGTCAAATCTACAAAGGTCTAACCAGCTCAAAACATTATACAAACAAAAGTGTTTTCAATATAGTACTTTGTTTCTTCACTATTGTCAACAGCATGCCCTGCCAGGTTTCAAAGTTAGTTTTGGGGCAAAATCACAAATTTACATACAGTACCATTCCATGCGGAAGTGGAAAAGAATCATTCCTGCGTGTTGTTAAAAAATGCTGGGAACAAGGGGCTAGTAAACCCTTCTCTTATATAAATTACTCAATGTAAAAAGAAGATAAACTTTACAGTTTTTTTCTTTTTTGGGTCACCAGCCTTGGTGTAGATGATCACTATCTTGAAATAAAAAAATACAATGCCATGTTAATTTACAAAAATGTATGTATCAATGCATAAGAATCTTTCTTTCTTTCAACACACCAGCCGTATCCCACCGAGGCGGGGTGGCCCAAAAGGAAAAACAAAAGTTTCTCCTTTTACATTTAGTAATATATACAGCAGAAGGGGTTACTAGCCCCTTGCTCCCGGCATTTTAGTCGCCTCTTACAACACGCATGGCTTACGGAGGAAGAATTCTGTTCCACTTCCCCATGGAGAATGCATAAGAATATCTTTTGGAAATAATTTATGTTTAAGTCAATTCAGATTATGTGACAAACACTGCCTAAAAAGCAAGACATAAACATAGTTACACTTCCATTACTTACCAATGCTAACCTGAAAACAAGAGTATAAATAGCACATACTGTATATACAAAAGAAATGGGAACAAAAGATAAAATTTACCTGATAAATCTCAAATGCAACCTTATATGACACACACATTAGAAATTAAAAAAATAAGAAAGGTACAATCTGAACTTTTAAGAAGTGCTAGTAACAGCGGGAAGAACTTACTTTCCTCAGGTCCTGCTTAATACATTAAAATAAAATACACTGCATTAACTATACATGTAGCTCTTCATTTTCCAATACAACAACAATAATTTTTGAAACTTTAACACGACCTGAATTGTGAAGTTACACCTGAACTGTCTGCTCAAAGTTTCAACACACGCACTGCAAATCTTTGCATTTCTACTTCAAAGAATCTAATTTTAAATAAAAATATTCTTCTGTATTACCAGTGCATTCACATGTACAGAAGGACCAAGAACCTTCAGTTTTTATTCCCGTGACTGAAAGAATTATTCAGAGTGCACACTTGACGATCGGACTCGAAGAGATCAAGTTTGTGGGAAAGGCTTGATCATGTAAACTCACATCGTTGGGTCCAGCCATGATTTGGGGCTCCGAGGTGTAGAAGACCAACCATGTTGTCCTTGCCTGCAGTGATCAGATCTGTGTCAAGCTAAGGAAATAATTCAGATCAATGTTCAAAGCTATGTATGTCATATATTATGAAAAACATTCAACATTTGTAATAATGATAATAATGATGGAGTGAATGATGATAAAAGTGTTTCTTCTTTTTTGGGTAACCTTGCCTTGGCGGACTTATTATAATCATGGGAGAACACTAAACCCGTAGGGATTATACAGAGCCTGTGGGGGGGGGAAGGTATTCAGGCTCATTTCAGGAAACTGGAGCACAGATCCAATTCCCTTGATCAAGAGCCCCTCACTAGTGTCAAGCACCAACACTTTAAGAATACAACAGATAAAGCAAATTGGAAAAAAAAGAAAGAGAAAAGGAAAGAGGAACACTTTTATAAACAGGAATGAAAAAAATCACAGGCAGATAAGGAAAATGAAAACCAAACAAGTTTTTCGTATTTTTTTTCATTTCAAATTACATACGAGGAGGTGATCTCTCTAAATAAGAGATCCACAGTAGCACAATTACCACAAGGAAATGTACAAAATTACTTTTATTTACATTTTCAAGTTAATTTTACAATACGTAATACAAGCCAAGCTCCGGGAGTAGAAAAACTCTTGGAATTCATTAAAGGTATATCAAAGGTAAAGGTACCTCTTAACTAACACAAACACTGGGTTTAACTCTTAGGCTGGTCACATGTACAGAACACAGAGCAAACACCACACTACAGTACAGTGGGGGACCTACATTTCTGAGGCCCTGAAGCTTGAACTGTTATGGGGGCCCCTTTGCAACCCCTTCTCATACAGTAGACCAAAAATTTTTAAGCAATGTACACTAATGTTGTTTCTGGGGCCCCTCTGGGATTAGGGGCCCTCAAGCTTAAGTTTCATTAATTTCAAAGTAGATCTGTCCCTACTACAGTACATACTGGTGATTAACCATAGTACAGTAGAACCCCCATATCCGTGAATTCAGTTTCCGTGGTTTGTTATCCATGGTTTACTGTGGCTCAAAAATAAACCTTACTTTTGCTTAATAAAGGCACCAAAGCACAAAAGTAGTGATGATGACACTTCTTCAAAGCCTAAGAGAAGAGAAGCCATGAAGTGTTTCCCACGGTGCCCCATAGCCTGGTGGCTAAAGCTCTCGTTTCACACAGCGAGGGTCCAGGTTCGATTCCCAGCAAGGTTAGAAACATTGGACATCTTTCCTTACACCAGATGTTCATGTTCCTCATCAGTAAAATGGGTACCTAGATGTTAGTCGACTGGTGTGGGTCGCATCCTGGGACAAAACTGGCCTTATTTCCACAAAATGCTCTGCAAAACAAGTGGCTTTCTGTATGGTAGTACAGTATGTCACTGATGTCAACTAAGCCTGTATACCTTGTACATATACTTGTAGGAATAATAATTAATTATATTTTATTTTTTTTTTTTTTCAACAAGTCGGCCGTCTCCCACCGAGGCAGGGTGACCCAAAAAAGAAAGAAAATCCCCAAAAAGAATATACTTTCATCATCATTCAACACTTTCACCACACTCACACATTATCACTGTTTTTGCAGAGGTGCTCAGAATACAACAGTTTAGAAGCATATACGTATAAAGACAACAAGAAAAATCGTATGCTGAGGTCGCTAAGATGTATGGCAAGAATGAATCTTCCATTCAAGAAGTATAATAATGTACAATGTATTTTATTATTATTTAATGACACTAACACTATTAACAAAAAATAAATAACCAGTATCACTATACAATGTTGCTGACCCACTGGTTAAAATGACTGCAGCTGAAACAGTCATGTGACATAGCATGATACCTGGTCTTTGAAAATAGTAATGGCTTCTGAAAGTTATTTACACATTACTGTAAAATTATCAAGGTGCTTACTTAATATCTGAAAACTAAAGCAATTAAATAAACACATTTATTACCTTAATTAATTAATTCAAGGATTATGTGGAGTAAAATAAAGATTGGATGTGAAAAGTGGGTTATAATAAGCGTGTATGCACCTGGAGAAGAGAGAAGTGTAGAGGAGAGAAAGAGATTTTTGGAAATGTTGAGTGAATGCGTGGGGAGTTTTGAATCAAGTGTGAGAGTAATGGTGGTTGGGGATTTCAATGCTAAAGAGGGTAAAAATGTTGTGGAGGGAGTAGTAGGTAAATTTGGGGTGCCAGGGGTAAATGTAAATGGGGAGCCTTTAATTGAGCTATGTGTAGAAAGAGATTTGGTAATAAGTAATACATATTTTATGAAAAAGAGGATAAATAAATATACAAGGTATGATGTAGCACGTAATGAAAGTAGTTTATTAGATTATGTATTGGTGGATAAAAGGTTGATGGGTAGGCTCCAGGATGTACATGTTTATAGAGGGGCAACTGATATATCGGATCATTATTTAGTTGTAGCTAAAGTTAGAGTAAGAGGTAGATGGGAAAAGAGGAAGGTGGCAACAACAAGTAAGAGGGAGGTGAAAGTGTATAAACTAAGGGAGGAGGAAGTTCGGGTGAGATATAAGCGACTATTGGCAGAAAGGTGGGCTAGTGCAAAGATGAGTAGTGGGGGGGTTGAAGAGGGTTGGAATAGTTTTAAAAATGCAGTATTAGAATGTGGGGCAGAAGTTTGTGGATATAGGAGGGTGGGGGCAGGAGGAAAGAGGAGTGATTGGTGGAATGATGAAGTAAAGGGTGTGATAAAAGAGAAAAAGGTAGCTTATGAGAGTTTTTTACAAAGCAGAAGTGTTATAAGAAGAGCAGAGTATATGGAGAGTAAAAGAAAGGTAAAGAGAGTGGTGAGAGAGTACAAAAGGAGAGCAGATGATAGAGTGGGAGAGGCACTGTCAAGAAATTTTAATGAAAATAAGAAAAAATTTTGGAGTGAGTTAAACAAGTTAAGAAAGCCTAGGGAAAGCATGGATTTGTCAGTTAAAAACAAAGTAGGGGAGTTAGTAGATGGGGAGATGGAGGTATTAGGTAGATGGCGAGAATATTTTGAGGAACTTTTAAATGTTAAGGAAGAAAGAGAGGCAGTAATTTCATGCACTGGTCAGGGAGGTATACCATCTTTTAGGAGTGAAGAAGAGCAGAATGTAAGTGTGGGGGAGGTAGTGAGGCATTACGTAGAATGAAAGGGGGTAAAGCAGCTGGAACTGATGGGATCATGACAGAAATGTTAAAAGCAGGGGAGGGATATAGTGTTGTAGTGGTTGGTACTTTTGTTTAATAAATGTATGAAAGAGGGGAAGGTACCTAGGGATTGGCGGAGAGCATGTATAGGCCCTTTATATAAAGGGAAAGGGGACAAAAGAGACTAAAAATTATAGAGGAATAAGTTTACTGAGTATACCAGGAAAAGTGTACGGTAGGGTTATAATTGAAAGAATTAGAGGTAAGACAGAATGTAGGATTGCAGATGAGCAAGGAGGTTTCAGAGTGGGTAGGGGATGTGTAGATCAAGTGTTTACATTGAAGCATATATGTGAACAGTATTTAGATAAAGGTAGGGAAGTTTTTATTGCATTTATGGATTTAGAAAAGGCATATGATAGAGTGGATAGTGGAGCAATGTGGCAGATGTTGCAAGTATATGGAATAGGTGGTAAGTTATTAAATGCTGTAAAGAGTTTTTATGAGGATAGTGACGCTCAGGTTAGGATGTGTAGAAGAGAGGGAGACTACTTCCCGGTAAAAGTAGGTCTTAGACAGGGATGTGTAATGTCACCATGGTTGTTTAATATATTTATAAATGGGGTTGTAAAGGAAGTAAATGCTAGGGTGTTCGGGAGAGGGGTGGGATTAAATTTTGGGGAATCAAATTCAAAATGGGAATTGACACAGTTACTTTTTGCTGATGATACTGTGCTTATGGGAGATTCTAAAGAAAAATTGCAAAGGTTAGTGGATGAGTTTGGGAATGTGTGTAAAGGTAGAAAGTTGAAAGTGAACATAGAAAAGAGTAAGGTGATGAGGGTGTCAAATGATTTAGATAAAGAAAAATTGGATATCAAATTGGGGAGAAGTATGGAAGAAGTGAATGTTTTCAGATACTTGGGAGTTGACGTGTCGGCGGATGGATTTATGAAGGATGAGGTTAATCATAGAATTGATGAGGGAAAAAAGATGAGTGGTGCGTTGAGGTATATGTGGAATCAAAAAACGTTATCTATGGAGGCAAAGAAGGGAATGTATGAAAGTATAGTAGTACCAACACTCTTATATGGGTGTGAAGCTTGGGTGGTAAATGCAGCAGCGAGGAGACGGTTGGAGGCAGTGGAGATGTCCTGTTTAAGGGCAATGTGTGGTGTGAATATTATGCAGAAAATTCGGAGTGTGGAAATTAGGAAAAGGTGTGGAGTTAATAAAAGTATTAGTCAGAGAGCAGAAGAGGGGTTGTTGAGGTGGTTTGGTCATTTAGAGAGAATGGATCAAAGTAGAATGACATGGAAAGCATATAAATCTATAGGGGAAGGAAGGCGGGGTAGGGGTCGTCCTCGAAAGGGTTGTCATGTTGGGGGGGGGGTAATGAATGAACGGGGGAATATGGGAGTAAGAAAATGAATATAACTTACAAATAGTACAGAGGACAGTTCACTACAGGAACTAAGCCACAGGTCCCAAGACCTACACAGCACGAGTACTGCTCCAAGCCAGTACTCTGCCCAATGTCTCCAAGAGTCTCCTCCAGAGACTTCAGCAGCCTTCTCCCGAGCCCTGCACCCCAGCAGCAGCTCCGCTCGAAGTCTCTGCTCAGGAGCTCTGCACCCCAGCAGCAGCTCTGCTCGAATCTCCTGATCATGCTCTTCCTTGGGCTTTTATGGTGGTCCAAGCACCCTCCACAACCACGTGTACGACCTGACGCCTAGGTCTGACGCCGTCAAGAACAAAACACCTCAGACGTGGGCGTGGCTACAGACGTTTGCCAAGGCAAGGTGTGACCATATAATTGGTTAAATTAGGTCTCCCCAGAGACCTCACAAGCCCAGCTGAACTACATCACAGGGTTGGAGAGAGGGGGTAAAGGAGGTTTTGTGGGCAAGGGGCTTGGACTTCCAGCAAGCGTGCGTGAGCGTGTTAGATAGGAGTGAATGGAGACGAATGGTACTTGGGACCTGACGATCTGTTGGAGTGTGAGCAGGGTAATATTTAGTGAAGGGATTCAGGGAAACCGGTATTTTTCATATAGTCGGACTTGAGCCCTGGAAATGGGAAGTACAATGCCTGCACTTTAAAGGAGGGGTTTGGGATATTGGCAGTTTGGAGGGATATGTTGTGTATCTTTATATGTGTATGCTTCTAAACTGTTGTATTCTGAGCACCTCTGCAAAAACAGTGATAATGTGTGAGTGTGGTGAAAGTGTTGAATGATGATGAAAGTATTTTCTTTTTGGGGATTTTCTTTCTTTTTTGGGTCACCCTGCCTCGGTAGGAGACGGCTGACTTGTTGAAAAAAAAAAAAAATTTATTACCTAGAAACAGATAGACGGTAGGGGTAAAGGAGGTTTTGTGTGCAAGTGGCTTGGATATACAACAAGTGTGAGTGTGTTATATAGGGGTGAGCAGAGACAAATTGTTTTTGGGACCTGATGAGCTGTTAACAGGAGTATGAGCAAGGCAATATTTTGTGAAGAGATTCAGGAAAACTGGTTATCCAGATTTGAGTCCTGGAGGTAGGAAGTACAATGCATGCACTTTGGAGGAGGGGTTTGAGATGTATGCTATTTCGAGGGACATCTGACCTGTCACATCTATGCACCTCTGGCAATGACAATGATGGTGTGAATGATTGTGAAAGTGTTTCTTTTTTGGGCCACCCTGCCTCGGTGAGAGATGGCCAGTGTATTGAAAGAAAATTACCCATTTTTCCAAGTCAAATTATCCACATATGGCGGGCTGCCATAATTGGTTACAAATGAACTTATAAAAGGATACATTCATTGTATGGTGAAAGATCAAGATCCAAAATGGGAGCCGTGTGACTGAAGACTTGTCCAATGACTTGATGGCGCTCAGGATAGCGGCGATATCGGTACACAGTCTTACCTGCAAGTATTCATTATCTGCTGAAATATCTAGTGTTGACCAGTTCAATGATAAAAAACAGCAGAGAGCACTTTAAATCATTAATATATCCTGAATGACTTTCATTAGTTAGTTTGACAGTTCACACCCCCCTCCCCCTTTTTTTTTTGCTACAATTTCAGTTCAGTTGGAAATGTTATCCAATTTTGCAATTTTGCAAAAAACTAAGTATCATGTGGAAATCAATTATTATTACTATTATTATTATTACTATTATTATTACTAATATTATTATAACTACTATTATTATTATTATTACAGTAAAACCTCTCATTAATGGATTTTGGTAATTTTGGACAAAAAAATTGCCTGGACAAACACTAATAATCAGAAAAAAAAGTTTATAATTCTGCATTCTGTCATTAGCAACAATGTCCAGTGGTGTTCTGAAGTATCGGATCAAGCCCAATAACTTGGACATTAGTGCAGTATAGGCCAAAGCAGCCACGTCCAAGACTTGTCTATTGTCACTGCTCCCTAGACTGTAGGCCACCCATGCCAGTCTAGCACTTGTCCTCATTCATGCATACACTTGTCACTCAGTCTCCAATATTCCTTGGATTTAGAGCATTTTGTGTGACTTTCTCAACTATCTGTGTCTTCTCAGCCCTCTGCATCTTTCAGGTATCTACATCTCAGTCATGTACATCTCTCAGTCATCTACATCATCTCAACCATCTATATCTCTCAGGTATCTACATCATCTCAGCCATATACATTATTTTCACTGGTAGAACTGACTCAGAATAAAATTAAATCTGAATCACCACTATTAATCACAGCAGTTTACATCTCATCTCTCCATCATGAAAATCTAAGTAAAATTACTGTAAATTATGTAGACTACTATAAAATACTATAATATACAGGTACTGTACTGTAGTACTACAGGTTACAATATCTGTATTCTTAGTGTCTGGTCGCCTTCTATATCAGCGGACCAAGTCCACTACTTCGAAGACAACCAGACTATCATGATATATTAATTTCATCATCCTGGAGTTGCAGAAACTGGTATTATTGTAATAACCCCATCCTCCTGTTAGTCCATTAATGAGAGGTTTTGCTTATTGTTATTAAGATACTGAATATAATAGGGTAATTCATATACACTATACTGTGCTAAGCAACCTGCATGGTCAGACACTGGGCCATGATTATCACAGAGGACTGAACCTTCAACACTATTTATGCTGAATGACCCACATGGGTCTACCATTTCACGAAGCACAATACATATAGAGTAGGCTAAGGAAGCATGCAATAGCAACAAAAGTCACATGACCTACCTTCAGCAGTGTAGAGCACACCCCCACTAACTGTGTACCGCATGCATGTTACCCTACCAGGGTTCACCTTCTGGGTCTCCCACTTCCATGGTCGCTTACCGACGCACCAACACACAAGACCTTCACCCGTGCTGGCCATCATCACACCTACAATACAACATTATAATACATATAGGAAAGCCTGCATGATAGAGTAGGGTTTCTGCCTCATGATTCTTCATTTATTTATGAATTTATTAACTGACTTATTTGTTTTAACACAATGGTCATCTCTCTCCAAGATAGGGTGAACCCATATAGAGGAAACACATTCATTTAATTGCTGAATGTTGTCACTGCACTGACAACACCGCTCAGCAACATCTTCGCCCCCCTCCATTAGAATGTAGGCACCATACTACCCATCTCAAGGATTCAAGGCCAGCTAACCAGTTACCTTGAATCGCATCATAAATCTTAACTAACTCACATTCCAGCAGCACATCAGCTAATATTGGAAGGTGAAGTAGGTAAGACTGTGAGCAAGGAATTATATATACATTTCAGTCACTACATGATCTGAGAAAGGTATATCTATATTCCATAACCTCAGTCCCTTGTACCTCAATGCATGTGACTGGAATAGCACAGAGTGCAGGTTAGGTTAGGTAAGGTTCGTCAGGAAACAGGACAAGTGTTTTCTGATGTGGGTCTTAGAGTGAAGCATAAATTTGTAATGCAGTTAAATCAGTCTTGAATATTTGAAATGAATCAGAAGAGGCTTTCACAAATCAACATACAGAAATGACTATCAATTCCTATAATAAAAATGGCAAATTAAGACAAGAATTCCAGATCTAATACAAAACACCCAACAAACTTATCAGCTAAACTGAAGAGGAATTCTTATATCAGACTAATATCCTGAAAATAAAAAGGTCTTTGCTAATTCAATTTAAAAATGCAGTAAAAAAAGTAATTTTTTCTCATTTATATTCTATTTTGAATGTCTTTTCTCATTTATATTTATTTTGAATTCTCTCCAATCCTAGAGGAAAAAATATTTTTATTTTTTAACAGAATTTTAATGGGAAACAATTTAATGAAATTGTCAAATTGAAATATACACAGTTGAAAGTGAACAACAAGCTTTCTTTAAATAAAGCTCACCAAAGTTGAAAATTTGTAACTGATCCAATTCCAGCCATTTGAAATGTTTTAACAATTTCAGTAAAATTTAAAATTTACACTCATTAACTTGTTCACACTAAGGTTATGGGGCATCATCCTTCTCATAAACTGAACCATTATTATTTTGAAGCTGATTAGTAGGAACATTCTTTAGTTATTTAATATACATATGAATATCACTATTCATTCAATCAAAATGGAAAATTGGGACTTATGTCAGCCAATAGCAGCATAAACCTTGCATTCAGGACACACCAGTGATGAAAATTTGAAGCCGATCAGATAATTCATTCTCCAGTTACAGCACAGATTTTAAGAATTCAAAGTTTCTTTTTACCATTAAATATTAAATAATGAAGCTATTTAGAAGAGATTGACCAAAAATTATTTAATATAATTTAACAGGAATATAAATTTAACACTATTTTACACACAAGATGAGCAAATCTGCTCCTACACTCAATTTTCACTCTTCACCATTGTTGACTCAGGAGGCTCCTGTTTTGAATGCTTGAAGCTATGTTGCCTAGGGTGTTAGGAGTTACTGGAGCTGTTCCAGATACTCAGTAAGGGTTCAACAATGTTAGATGAAGGTCACATGCACATGCCAATCGTTCTAAGCATCTGACTCGAGTTGAGGTACACAAGAAGTGAAACTTTTAAAGTTGATCAGATGAAGCCTTCTCAAGTTATGAGCAAGATGAAAAACAAAGTCTCCAGTGTACCCCTTGGCCTTGAAGAAACTGAGGGCGAGATATATATTTCAAAGTGGAGAAGAATCCTTCCTCCATAAGCCATGGATATTGTACGAGGTGACTAAATTGCTAGGAGTAAGGGGCTAGTGACCCCTTCTCCTGTATTCGAGGGGTGCCGAGAGCTGGTCTATTTATTTTATTTTTATTTATTTATGTCTTTGAATATATGATGCTGTGGGACAGAATGAGCTAATCTTTCTTGATAGGCAGAACAAAACACAGTATGTTAAATTTCAGAAAATACAATACACATAAAATCTTAAACTGACTTACTGGGATATCCATTAGAGAGTGAGACATTGTAGCGCTCAGGGGAAGGGTACAAACAAGTGACAGGAGGCTGAGCAGAAAAGGAGCATATTGGACGTCCATCTACACTGTTCACTTTGACCTCCCCTAGAGCTGAACCAGACACCAGGACAGCCTTGCCAGATCCCCATGGCCAGGACCCATCAAGGAAACACATATCATTGATGCTGTCCTCGTGTAACTGTATAAAGAGAAAGAAGTTAAGAGATATGTTCACTGTGTATGGACCTGATAGAAGCTACAGTACACAATAAACCTGATTTAATGATTAGATACTGATAACCATTCCATAGCATTAACAAGATACTAAACCACTTAATCAGTGCCTAAGTAGGCTTTGCTATTTGTTGTATTAGATTATTTACTGCTTTATCAGGCAAAGCATGCTGGGCAAACAATATTTCAAAGATTAATTGTAAATAAAATGGCAATAAAAAATATTTATTTACATAATACCTTGCAATATGTTTCACAGTCATGCCATAAAAGTGAAAAGACGTACATCATAGATAAAATCAAGTGGCAGTGGCATCCTAAAATCAAGAAGAGTAATGCCCCGAGCATTGACTGTGGTGCAGGCGGCCAGGTATGGTAAAGAGGGATGTACGATAAGCGGCTGTCGGACATCAATAGGACTAGCACAGTTATCGTACGCCAACAAGGGAGTCCCTCTCTCTATATCCACGATGCTCACTTTGCGAGACACTGAAGTTGTAATAGCCTGTCAAAAAGTAAAAACAAAGAAGAAAAATGAACAGGTAATCCTTCTCTTTTTAGGGATATGAGCATCATGTCAATACAGATAGGAGTGAAAGACATACATACTTAACCATACCCCGGCCGGGATTGAACCCGCGGTCAGAGAGTCTCAAAACTCCAGCCCATCGCGTTAGTCACTAGACCAGCTAGCCACAATAAGATTCGTCCAACTAGGTATATTTCTACACCATAGGAAGGTTAGCAAAGGCACCACTGTGACCAGAAATGCAAGTTTTTACAGACGAATCTCCAGCTAGCGTGGCCGTGACGAACTCTAGCTCAAGTCCCTTCACTGCCGTCAACATGACTCACGGTTTGTTTGCAATCGTGTCATTACGATTTCGTGAGTCATACATACTTAAATAAGTTTGCAGGGAATGAGCTCTTTTTCCTGGGCCCCGTCTCTTAACCATCATTCTACCAAGAAAAATAATAAGGCACAATACCCAGGCTGGAACAATACACAAAAAAAACACACACATAGCAGATAAATGTATGACAACATTTCGGTGCAACTTGCATCATTAACCAGTCACAAGTCGGACTGAAATGTTATCATAAGTTTCAGTCTCCTGCATGTGTGTAACTTGAGCATCATTCTACCAGTCTGATAACTATCTAAACTCATGGATTTTTCCCATATTTATACCTGAACCATGTATGGAGTTTATTTTGACTGCCTCCTCACATAGTGTATTCCATACACTCACGACAGAGATGAAGCAGGTAGACTCCATGGACAGCTTAAAGAATAGGTGTGAGGATATGAGGCAGTGAGTTCAGTTATAGCCAGTTAAGAAGTGAGGGACCAGGAGTAGTCTCAACCCCAATAGTCACAAACAGATGAGTACAAATGGGTAACTGAATGCAACTTCAAAATAAAAAAATGTTAAATGCTTTTTTTGTACTATCAGATGGTGGATCTTACCTTGGAGCCATCTGGAGAGAAGTTGAGAGCATTGATGGCTCTTGCAAGACTGAGAGAACCTAGAGGAACAGAGCGCACTATTTCTCCTCGTAAAGCATTGACCACTGTTATCTCGCCATCACTCCCACCAAATGCGAAAGCATATCGATCCTATAAATAAATTACACAATTAAATACGAGAGAAATTTATAAACTAATAGCAATTATCAATATTATGAATGATACAAGAGATTATTAGTAAAGAATATGTCTGAAGAATATGAGAATATGAATAATGATTCTAAGTGGTCTTCCAGCAAGTTGCTACTGTTTGGAGCCTGAAAAAAACACAATCCTCTATGTTAATACAAGTCCACCATGTCAAAGCCAGCACAAGCATAAGGCATTTAAGGAGATAACATACACTAGCAATAAGATAAATTCAAGTGTCAAAATAATGACCATTAACAGAATACTAAAATTCATAATCTCCAATGGCATGTGCTCCATTTATCCTATCCTGTTAAACACTATGCCATATTTATTGGATCATGCCAAAAATAGGTGCAATTATGGAAGAATCATTTACTCAAAGTCCTAACTGCTGTCTACAGTGAGCGAGGAGTGAATGTTCACGTTAGTTTTACTCTCTACTGAGAGACAGATACTGAAGTACAGTATATTATAATAAAGTACAGTAAGAGATATTATTATTATTATTATCATGGGGAAGTGCTAAACCCATAGGATTATACAGTGTATTTGGGGGAGGGATGGAAGGTATTCAGACTCGATTCAGAGAACTGGACCACAGATCCAATTCCCTAGATCAAGAGCCCCCTCACCAGCATCAAGGAACCTCCCATGAGGGGACAGTAAGAGATAACCTTACTCAAGTTAGACTAGATAAAAGAGGCTACAATAGTTGCTTCACACATTATTATTACTTCCCACTATTTTGATTTTACTTTTGCAATATGAAATGAGTAAATAACACGTGTTTTTATTATGTTTTCCTTCAAATTACAAAATAACACACAGAGTAGGCGTGCTACATATTGTAATAGTGTATTTTTATTGTATTTTGATCTAAATGCAAAATAAACATGTACATACTGTATAATTAATTTTAAATTATTTTATTTGAAGTGCAAGTGGTGCCTTTTTGTATGTGCTCACTTCCCTGACACTAGAACTTAGCTACATCATTAGACCATTATCAAGCCATTACCACTTAGTGGTTCAAGATGTGCCAACATGTTGTCGAAAGTTTCTTATCTCAGGTGTTGATTACTTGCATTATAGTACAGTGGAACCCCGAGTTTCAGCCGTAATCCGTTCCAGGAGCTAGGACTAAACTCGAAACCGCTAAAGTCAAAGCAATATTTCACATAAGAAATAATGTAAATACAATTAATCCATTCCAGACCCACAAAAATATTCACAAAAAAATATGTTTTCTAAAGAATAACTATAGTTTAACCTACATATAGTACAGTGGACCCCCGGCTTACGATATTAATTCCTTCCAGGAGGCTGTTTGGGTGCCGTTACCGAATGAATTTGCTCCCATAAGGAATATTGTAAATTAGATTAGTCTGTTTCAGACCCCCAAAAATACACTTACAAAAGCACTTACAAAAATACACTTACATAATTGTTCGAGTTGGGAGCTGATCGTAAGTCGGGGGTCCACTGTACTTAAAACATACATATAGTATTTAAACGAGTAATACAATACATAAACATTTAAAATCACATTTACGTACCTTTATTGAAGAGTCTTGCTGGCATCTGGAAGATAGGGAGCAGGAGAGAGAGAGGGAGGACTTATTGTTTGGAAGGGGAATTCCCTTCCATAAAGACTTTAAGTAACAAGTCCTTACCTGGGGTTACTTCCCTTCTTTGTCTTTTAATGCCACTAGGACCAGCTTGAGTCACTGGATCCCTGTAGCACAAAATAACTGTCAAGAGTGCTCTGTTTCTGGCATCTCTTTAAGATTTACCTGAAGTGGGACAAGGTTTTGTCACTGAACATGTTGCAGATATGGTTTCAGCTTGGTCAGGGTGGTATTTCTCTAGAAAACCTTGCAGCCTAGTCCACACTGCACAAATCTCTTTAATCTCTGAAAGAGGCACCTCCTTCAATCCCTCTTCCTCCTCCTCTGAAGCAAGTTACTCAGCTGCAGTCTGTTGCTGTTTGAGTTGAAGCTCTTCAGTGGTTAGCTCTTCCCTGTGGTCGTCCACCAACTCTTCTACATCCTTGCCACTAACCTCCAACCCCACGGACTTCCCCAATACCACAATACCTTCTACAACAGGCAGATGGTCGGCAGGGTCAGGGTCAGCCTCAAACCCTTCAAAATCCCTCTGGAGGACACATTGTGGGCACAATTGCCTTCAAGCAGAGTTCAAAGTCCTGGAAGTTGCTCCCTCCCAAGCCTTACCTATAAGGCTTATGCAGTTGTAGATATTGAAGTGATTCCTCCAGAACTCTCTTAGGGTCAATTCAGTGTCCAAGGTCACTTCAAAGCACCTTTCAAACACTGCTTTGTGTAGAGTTTTTTAAGTTAGAAATGACCTGCTGGTCCATGAGCTGGAGGAAAAGAGTGGTGTTAGGAGGCAAGAACTTCACTCTTATAAAACTGAAATCCCTAGACAAGTGGTCTACCAAGTTTGGAGGATGAGCAGGAGCATTGTCCATTACCAGGAGGCATTTGAGTGGCAAATTATTTTCCAGGAGGTATTTTTTCACACTGGGACCAAACACTTCATGGACCCACTCTTTGAAAATTTGCCTCATGACCCAAGCCTTGTGATTAGCTTTCCACAACACACACAATTTACTTTTGATGACATTGTTTTTCTTGAACACTCTGGGATTTTCTGAGTGATAAACCAGTAAAGGCTTCACTTTAAAATCCCCACTAGTGTTAGTGCAGAACAAAAGAGTTAGCCTGTATTTCGTAGGCTTGTGTCCTGGCAGTACATTTTCCTCCAGAGTAATGTAGGTCCTCTTTGGCATTTTCTTCCAAAACAGGCCTGTTTCATCACAACTGAACACTTGTTGGGGTCTGAATTTTCAGTCTCTACGTACCCCTTAAATTCACTCACTAAGTTTTCAGGAGCATGTTTGTCAGAACTGGCAGCCTCACCATGCTTTACCACACTGTGTATACCACTACGCTTCTTAAATCTGTCAAACCAGCCTCTGCTGGCCTTAAATTCACTAACATCAGCACTGGTTCCAGGCATTTTCTTTACAAGATCAGCATGCAACTGCCTTGCTTTTTCACAAATGATCGACTCTGAAACACTTTCACCCGCTATCTGTGTATTGTTGATCCAAACCACCAACTTCTCAACCTCTTCAACTGTTTGAGATCTATTTTTTGGTTAACATGACAATACCTTTCACAACATCAGCTTCCTCGAGTTCTTTTCTCTTTGTCAGGATAGAGGTGATTGTTAATTTGTTTTTGCCGTACATCCTGGCAAGCTTGCCCACACGTATGCCACTCTCGTATTTTTGTACTATCTCCTCCTTCACTTCTATTGTGTCTCTCACTCTTTACCAAAGGGGTGCCACTAGGAAATTTCTTTGGGCCCATGGTGGCTTATTTCACAGTCACAATCAATAAACAAGCACTAAATACAATGAATTTATTGTGAAATGTTTGGATGAGCATGCAGGGTAATGTTCACTCAAGGATAAACAAAGCTAGACTGACTCACGATGCCTAGGCGGGCAAGCAGAGAGGTCAAGTATGCCGGCCGAAACACAGGGCACAGGCCAAAACTTGGGACAAAATTTAGCCGAAAAAAGCGGTCGAAACTCGAAGCGGCCGATTCTCAGGGCTGCCGAAACTCTGGGTTCCACTGTATTAACGTGTGTTACTGAATTCTGAAGGAAATATATAGCAAGTGGGAATATTTTATTATACATGGTATGCAATGCCAGCAAGCTGATGAGTAAGAGGCATGTGCAACACTAAATATCTTTACTGATGAAATGTTTTGCCTGCACTGTAACATGTGTCAGTAGAATACAGTAATGAATTACAATCCTGGAGGCAGAAGATTTAGCCACCTGACTTTTCATACATTTACAAACCTCTTACTCAATAACCTTAGTCTAGCTCTTAAGTAGTTTGTGAGCATTAGGATTAGTCTGCCTGAAATTCAGCGCATGTTAGTAGCTTCCTCTTGTGCTTAACAATATTTTAATTATATGTAAACTACATTTTGTATACTACAGAAAAGAAATAATGCTGTATTGTATTGTATTTATTTGCACTACAGTACTGCATGCCTTACTGACCTTGGGATGGAATGTACAGCATGTGGGAACATTGCTCTTCTGTTGTATAAACTGCACACTGCCCTCCTCCTCCATCCTTCTGCCCTTGTCACCACCACAACTATCATCACCACCACCACACCTCAGCTGTAAGTTCTCCCTCGTCACAGCTGACACACCATCATGAACATCCGTTCCTGGGGTTAAGTAAGTTTATTTAGATACAGGTACATGTAAGTACAATTATCATACATAGTGAAAATTACCTAGGATAACCCAGAAAAGTCAGCCAAATGACTTATTTTCATTGGGGTCAATGTTGAAAAAATTATAGTACAGCCTCTCCTCACTTAACGACAGAGTTGCGTTCCCAAGATCACGTCAGTAAACAAATTCGTCACTAAGCAAGGTGCACACTATAATGGTAGTGGGTTTGTGTCAACCATCTTTGATATTGTTTTAATGTCACCTTTGCACCATCTATAACATTTCTGGTACTGTATATGTATTTTTAAATGTTTATACAGTAGTTTACTGTACAGTATACTGTAATAAACAGAATAAAGGAAATCAGCTCTAATATACATTATTTTGGCATGCATACTTGTCAGAGAGCCCCTCGTAAGTCCGAGTCGTCAGTAAACAAGTACGTTGCTAAGTGAGGAGAGGCTGTATTTTTAAATGTTTATACAGTAGTTTACTGCATATTGTAATTAAACTGAATAGAGGAAATCAGCTCTAATATACATTATTTAGGTATGCATACTGGTCAGAGAGCCCATCATAAGTTTGAGTTGTCGGTAAACAAGTACGTTGCTAAGGTAGGAAAGGCTGTATTTAAAAAAGTTCTTTGACACCACACATAATTGTGTGAATGAAATGTCTTCTCTATAAATGCCATAGACTGTATAATTTGTCTTATTTAATACTCATTCAGAAGTTATGTTAATGGCAGTGGTGTCAACCATGCTTAATTTGCCGCTAGAGAAGAGCTTTAAGATGAACATTGTAGTTGTCCGGTTATTGGGGAGGACTATGTACTCTTTTTGATGGTGTCGGGTCTTGGTAAATTAATGTCATGAGTACATCGTCTGCAGTCCCTAAATGAAATTTCAAGAGTAGTGTAGATTGGCATGTTATCACCTTAAATAATAACCAAAGAAACAAACATTATTCTTCATATGGAATGGAGAGTATGGATGTTATTTATAATATAAAAGATTAATAATAATACTAATATCTTTATTTCTACAAGTACACGTACTTGTGGATCTGTTCCTTGAAAAATTAAACAATGACCTCTATTTTCAATACAGTAGTCAACAATGAATAAGCCTTTTTTCTTACCTAGTATTGCTATGGTCTACAGTTTCCAGTGGCACTTCTGCCTCCCAATATTAAGGTAGTAAGTAGAAAAATAAACACATAAGCGGTATAATGTGATCCTTTATTGACAACATTTCGCCCACACAGTGGACTTTTTCCATTGTGTCGGTATTTTATACCATTTATTTCCAAGGTAGTAAGTAGGTATATTTAGGCACAGGTATACATAATTACAATTATCATAGTGTAAAGTACCCACCAGGATAACCCAAAAGTGACAATTTATTCCCATTGGGGTCCTTGACATGTCGATTCTCTCCTTCATAATGTACAGAAAAATACGTGCACAAAACCTCGGTGATTATTACATGAACACCATTATGAAAATGAACATTATTACATTCTCGGGGACAACGCTAAACCCGTACAAGTTGTATCGTGCCAAGGGGAATGAGAAGCTCTCAGATTCAATTCAAGGAAGGGAATGGCAAATCTAATTCCTTGGATCAAGAGCCCCCACCAGCAGGAGCTACTGAAAATTAATATATTCAGAAAAAAACTGAGATAACAGGAACCCACAAGGTGTCATTACTCAACAGAATTATAATGACAACTTAAAATTAGGAAACTTTAAAATTTTATTAGGATTATAATGATAATAATATTTTTATTTTCTACAAGTACATGATGGTTTAAAACAATCCGAAACTCAAAAAGATTATTATTATTAGGTTATGATAATTAAGAACAATCTGACACTCGAAAATATTATTACTAATAGTAGTATTAGGATTACAATGATGGTTTAAAGCAATTTCAAACTCAAAAATATTATCATCATTTTCAGAGAGGACCATAAGGGACCTCTGATATGCCTTTGATGAGTTTCGAGTGTTTTTACTCCCGGAGCCCGGCCAGAGTCCAGGCTCAGCTGGTGCTAGCCTGGTCAACCAGGCTATCGCTGCTGCAATTATCAAATACAATGTAAATTACCCGGAAGAACCCATCACCCAACACCGAAAAAAAATAAACCCCGGGGGAGGGGAGGAATGGAAATAAAAAAAAAATTGAGTGTGAGGGCTGGTTTAAGAGAAGTTGAGGCACTCATGGCACTCAGGTGGCACTCATCACTCACCAGGCTCCACCAACACTCACAAATAAGGTCGGTAACACACAAGGGGGACCAAAAAAACCAGCCAGGAGAGGTCACTTGCTGTCCTCCACAAGATCGTCTCCTCAAAATCAAAACAACTTGGCAGTGTTGCCAACCAAAAATTTTTCAGAGATCGCTAGACTCTTGATCTTAAAAAAAATAATTAATTAAGTTGGTAAGTTTATTCAGGTACAGGTACACATAAATATAGTTACATAAATTGTCATACATAATAATAATGATATTATCTCCTTTATAATATAACAGTAAGGTAACAAAAGGACTTACTTACTTACTTACTTACTTACTCCAATGGTACTAAGTCACTCTAGCTGACTTTTTTGGATTATCCCAGGTTCTCTACACATATTTTGCTATATATGATAATATATGTAACTTTGTATACCTGAATAAACTTACTTACCATATGTATAAATTACCTTGGATAACCCCCCCCCCCAAAAAAAAAAAAAAAAAAGTCAAAGTGACTTATTTCCACTAGTGTCCTTGTAATATCTTATTTAAACCTTAAGTTAAAACAGTAACTCAGCTATGTAAAAATCAGTTACAATAAAAGGAGATATACTAGGAATAAGGTAAACTGAGTTACTGACATTACAAAGATCAGCTTACAGTGATAGGTACATGAATATTAGCTATACAAGAAATCACTCTCCTCCCTTTCTGTAGCTTCATTCATTAGGTACCTTTTAAGGTACATAGATTATCATACATAGAGGCATATGTGTATAGAACCTGGGATAACCCAGAAAAGTCAGTGACTTATTTCCACTGGGGGTCCTTTTAATTTCCATTGGGGTCCTTTAGCTCTCTTCCTAAACTGACTCATGCTATGACTGGCTCTGACGTGTAGAGAAATATATTTATAACAGAGTGTCAGGGGCCCAAGACTGATCAACTGCCTCCCAGTATACATAAGGGGGCTTACCAGTAGACCCCTGGCTGTCTTCAACAGGGCACTGGACAGGCACATAAAGTCAGTACCTGACCAGCCGGACTGTGGTTCCTACGTCAGTTTACGTGTGGCCAACAATAACAGCCTGGTTGATCAGGTCCTGATCCACCACCAGACCTGGTCACGGACTGGGTCGAGGGGGCGTTGACCCCCGAAACCCTCTCCAGGTATACTTTCATCTCTTAATAAGCTGAATTTACTAGTTCAAGTCACTAAAATATGAGGCAAGTATATTATAGACAACACAATAAGTGTCAGGGGCCCAAGATTGTTCAACTGCCTCCCAGCATACATAAGGGGGATTACCAATAGACCCCTGACTGTCTTCAAGAAGGCACTGGACAAGCACCTAAAGTCGGTACCTGACCAGCCAGGCTGTGGCTCGTAGGTTGGATTGCATGTAGCCAGCAATAACAGCCTGGTTGATTAGGCTCTGATCCACCAGGAGGCTTGGTCACAGACCGGGCTGCGGGGGCGTTGACCCCCGGAACTCTCTCCAGGTAAACGACTGCATTACATTTTAATTCTATTGAACTTCACATTCTTACATCCAAAGTCATCAGAAAAATGTTCTTTGTGGAGTTCACTTAGATGGTTCACTGCTCGTAATGAACAATGTTCAGTAATGAACATTGAGTGTCCGTGGTTCAATCCCAGGTACGGGTGGAAACACTGGGTGTTAAGTCACCTTACAACTGCTGTTACTGTGGAAAATAATGTATTTTCCAGAAAAAAATACAGTGTATTTTTTATGTAAATTAGTGTAACATACTGTATTTAATAAAAATTTGTTATAAAAAAATGGGAAATTCTGCGCCTGCGCAGAGAAGAGTCGCCATGTTTGAACTGGTCAACACTAATGTTAGTGAATAATGGGAAGAATTTTCGTGTTCTAGAGGTTAAAATTGGGTTGACACCTCTCAAATAGGAGCCGAAATTGTTGGATGTGCATTCCTGCATAACTTGAGATATCAGGCGACTGGACAAGACAGCTCCAGGAACCTCAGATAAGTCTTATGTTGTAACTCTGGCCAGTTGTTATTTTCATAGATAGACAGTGAGGTTTTCTGAGTATGATAAACATTAATCTCCAGTCAAATTGGTGAGTGATTTTAAGATATATTCTCCATCTGTTATGTAAATGTGTGTATATATAATCATTTATTAATTTTAATATAGTCCACAAATTTATATATTTACCAGAACTCCTGGTGATATATATTTCATTTATAATTAATAGGTCCAGAGCAACTTGTGGTTATGACAGTGGTAGGTATCGAAGGGGGACATTTTTGCGACCTAGGTGTCCCAAATTCCTACTTGTCTATGTAACTTTGATAAATAATAATTATATTTGTTATCATTTACTGTTATGTACATAATTAGTTACATTCAGATAAATGCAATTTTCCACAGTTTCTGTTCACCTAGAAATAAGTAGATAACTGGGTGTTAAGTCACCCTACAACTATTGTCCATGTACCTGAGTATTTAGTCATTTTACACCTGTCATTTTTCACCTAGCAGTAAATAGGTATCTGGGTGTTAGTTGACTGGTGTGGGTGGCATCCTGGGGACATTATTAACCTAAGTCGTGGGAAATGCTCAGCATAACCAGGAACTTCCTATATAGTATGTCACTGATGTCAGCTATGGTCTGTATAAGTTGTATTGTACTGATAGAAATAAAGATTATTATTAAGAAACTCAAACTAAAAATAGTACCAATTAACAACGAAATGCGCTAAATCTAGCAAATAAAGCGCTAATTTGGCAACATTGAAAACAAGCCAAGAAGTCGTTCTTGAAGTTGTTCTTGAAGTTGTTCTTGCAGCTCGATCCCCTCAAGGAAGGTTCCTTGATGTTGGTGAGGGGCTCTTGATTTAGGAAATTGGATCTGTGCTCCAGTTCCCCGAATTAAGCCTGAATGCCTTCCACATCCCCCCCCCCAGGCGCTGTATAATCCTCCGGGTTTAGCGCTTCCCCTTGATTATAATAATAATAATAATCTTGCAGCTCGCCGGATCCGGATTACCTCCGACTCATCGTGCTTTTAGCCTAAGAAAATATTGAGCACTGTTCCTCTCTGACCTCAAATTTCGGGTTATCCTGGCGATTTAATAAACTGTTTTTTAACCTGATTTGTCTATCCTGTGTAATTGACCCAAATATTACAATAAAGCACAACTGTACTCATCTGAACTTGTGTAATGTAACTAAACAAACTTACTAAGTTTATTCAGTTACATTACACAAAGTTAAATTTATATAATTACTCTATAACAATAACATGTGTGTATATTATAATTTACCCAATTAAAGTTATTTCAAACGCTTTAATGCCTTAAAACTAACTCATTTATATCATAAAAGAATAGTAAGATATACCTTAAAAATTTTATAGACAAACTTGCTAATTTATAATAGATTTATTAAATTTTATTTCTTCGTCTCATTAATTAAAATAATTTAATATGTCATTACAAAAAAAATCCTTGTGGAATGCATCCGTCGAGTGCATCTTTGATAAATGCAATATACGACTTTGGGCGTCTTACTGACGCATTTTCGGCTATAATACGCCATCTACAACTCACGAATATAGTTAAAAACCACCCGAATTTGATGCAAAATCACGTAAATCAAAAATAAATTTCGAAATTAACTATTTGAGCACCTCACTCTCAGCCTTCATAATTCTTCTGCCAACCAGTGATTATTATCAATAAATTATCATTAAACTTTTGCATTAATTATATTAATCATAGCTTGACAAATATTCTAGCTTCATCTATACAACTATAAAAATCTAAAAGAAATTTTAACCTTTAGTTTTAGTGTGAATGAAATGTTTAAATATCTCAAAAATACATCAAATAAATACTAGCTAGTTTTCTAACAATTATACACATTAAAAATAACAGATATATATATATATATATATATATATATATATATATATATATATATATATATATATATATATATATATATATATATATATATCTTTTGTCTTTGTTTACCAAAAAATAAGTAGGCTCGGCGGCCATCTTGTTGCCACGGCAACCAATGTAAACAAAAGAAAATAGAACTACGGACGTAGCGAAACAAAGAGCGAAACGTTGGTTTATTTTTTATTATATTTCCGTTAAGATGGGGAAGCATTAGACCCGTATGGAATAGGGACATTCAGGTTTGATCCGAGGAAGGGAAGGCCAGGGCACATATATAGATGCTATGGGATAGTACTTGGATAGTAAGTAATGTTAACGTACGTGTACGTACAGTACAAGGATGTTAACGCATATATACGTACAGTACATGGATGTTAACGTACATATACGTACAGTACATGGATGTTAACGTACGTGTACGTACAGTACGTGGATGTTAACGTACGTGTACATGCAATTCGTAGATGTTAACGTACGTGCACATAGTACATTATATAGTTTATAACGTGTGTGTACAATACACTAAGTAGATGTTAACGTACGTTGTACGTGAAGAATTTTACATTTATACATGAATAACACACGTACCTATATTAACAGGTGGGTGGTGATGGGCGGCGCCGGAGTGAGGGCGGCGGGTGGCGGGGCGGCACCAGGGATGGGTGGCCTGGTAGCCAGGAACTTGCAGGAGAGCCACGTCCTTGAACAGGATGCCAGGCTCCTGCAGCCACCTGGCACCCTGCAGGAGAGAATGTGGCACCACCTGGCCAGCGTCACCTGTATGGATCACGTACATACTGAGCCCAGGATAGTGCCACAGACCGTGGCATCCTGGTGCCCTCCCAGAGGTAGGATATACTAGGCTAGACGGATAGGATATGATATACTAAAAGGATATGCTAGGATAGGATAGGAGAGGCTAAGATAGGTTATGGTAGAGTAGGATAGGCTTTGATAGGCTTGTAGGCTAGGCTAGGATAGGATAGGCTAAAAGGATAGGTTAGAATAGGATAGGCTAGAGGGATAGGCTAAAAGGATAGGCAAGGAGGACAGGCTAAAAGGATAGGATAGGAGGATTAGCTAGAAGGATAGGATACGAGGATAGACTAGGAGGATAGACTAGTAGGAATAGGCTAGGAGGATAGGCTAAGAAGATAAGGTAAGAGGCTACTCGCGTAGAGACTAGGCGTCGTACATAGCAACACTAGTTAGTAGCACCAAGCAGCAGTACCAGGTAGCAACAACAGTAAGTAGCACCAGGCAGCAACACTGGTCAGTAGCACCAGGTAGCAACACTGGTCAGTAGCACCAGGTAGCAACACAGGTCATTGGCACCAGGTAGCAACACTGGTCAGTAGCACCAGGTAGCAACACTGGTCAGTAGCACCAGGTAGCAACACTGGTCAGTAGCACCAGGTAGCAACACTGGTCAGTAGCACCAGGCAGCAACACTGGTCAGTAGCACCAGGCAGCAACACTGGTCAGTAGCACCAGGTAGCAACACTGGTCAGCAGCACCAGGTAGCAACACTGGTCAGTAGCACCAGGTAGCAACACTGGTCAGTAGCACCAGATAGCAACACTGGTCAGTAGCACCAGGTAGCAACACTGGTCAGTAGCACCAGGTAGCAACACTGGTCAGTAGCACCAGGTAGCAACACTGGTCAGTAGCACCAGGCAGCAACAGTGGTCAGTAGCACCAGGCAGCAACACTGGTCAGTAGCACCAGGCAGCAACACAGGTCAGTAGCACCAGGTAGCAACACTGGTCAGCAGCACCAGGTAGCAACACTGGTCAGTAGCACCAGGTAGCAACACTGGTCAGTAGCACCAGGCAGCAACACAGGTCAGTAGCACCAGGTAGCAACACTGGTGAGCAGCACCAGGTAGCAACACTGGTCAGTAGCACCAGGTAGCAACACTGGTCAGTAGCACCAGATAGCAACACTGGTCAGTAGCACCAGGTAGCAACACAGGTCAGTAGCACCAGGTAGCAACACTGGTCAGTAGCACCAGGTAGCAACACTGGTCAGTAGCACCAGGCAGCAACACTGGTCAGTAGCACCAGGTAGCAACACTGGTCAGTAGCACCAGGCAGCAACACTGGTCAGTAGCACCAGGCAGCAACACAGGTCAGTAGCACCAGGTAGCAACACTGGTCAGTAGCACCAGGCAGCAACACTGGTCAGTAGCACCAGGCAGCAACACAGGTCAGTAGCACCAGGTAGCATCACTGGTCAGTAGCACCAGGTAGCAACACTGGTCAGTAGCACCAGGTAGCAACACTGGTCAGTAGCACCAGGTAGCAACACTGGTCAGTAGCACCAGGTAGCAACACTGGTCAGTAGCACCAGGCAGCAACACTGGTCAGTAGCACCAGGTAGCAACACTAGTCAGTAGCACCAGGTAGCAACACTGGTCAGTAGCACCAGGTAGCAACACTGGTCAGTAGCACCAGGTAGCAACACTGGTCAGTAGCACCAGGTAGCAACACTGGTCAGTAGCACCAGGTAGCAACACTGGTCAGTAGCACCAGGTAGCAACACTGGTCAGTAGCACCAGGTAGCAACACTGGTCAGTAGCACCAGGTAGCAACACTGGTCAGCAGCACCAGGTAGCAACACTGGTCAGTAGCACCAGGTAGCAACACTGGTCAGTAGCACCAGGTAGCAACACTGGTCAGCAGCACCAGGTAGCAACACTGGTCAGTAGCACCAGGTAGCAACACTGGTCAGTAGCACCAGGTAGCAACACTGGCTATTAAAGGGATCTGCCTGCAACAAGTTTGGGATTTCCCAGTAGCTGGTCGGGTCTTATGCTTGAGTTTTTCCAAGCAAATTTTGGCGTGAGTCCAGGTGTGCGTGTGTGCGTGTGTGTGTGTGTGTGTGTGTGTGTGTGTGTGTGTGTGTGTGTGTGTGTGTGTGTGTGTGTGTGTGTGTGTGTGTGTGTGTGTGTTTAACGGAGTCATTAAGTCTGCGTGTCACCTGTAAATAATAATAATAATATAAATAATAACAACAATAATAATAATAATAATAATAATAATAGTAATATCAATAATAATAATATCAAAGAGGGGAATGTATGAGAGTATAGTTATACCAACACTCTCATATGGGTGTGAAGCATGGGTGGTGAATGTTGCAACGCGGAGAAGGCTGGAGGCAGTGGAGATGTCGTGTCTGAGGGCAATGTGTGGTGTGAATATAATCCAGAGAATCCGTAGTTTGGAGATTAGGAGGAGGTGCGGGATTACCAAAATTATTACCCAGAGGGCTGAGGAGGGGTTGTTGAGGTGGTTCGGACATGTAGAGAGAATGGAACGAAACAGAATGACTTCAAGAGTGTATAAATCTGTAGTGGAGGGAAGACGGGGTAGGGGTCGGCCTAGGAAAGGTTGGAGGGAGGGGGTAAAGGAGGTTTTGTGTGCGAGGGGCTTGGACTTCCAGCAAGCATGTGTGAGCGTTTTTGATAGGAGTGAATGGAGACAAATGGTTTTTAATACTTGACGTGCTGTTGGAGTGTGAGCAAAGTAACATTTATGAAGGGAGGGAACCCGGTAGGCCGTACTTGAGTCCTGGAGATGGGAAGTACAGTACCGTCACTCTGAAGGACGGGTGTTAATGTTGCAGTTTTATAACTGTAGTGTAAAGCACCCCTTTGGCAAGACAGTGATGGAGTGAATGATGATGAAAGTTTTTTTTTCGGGCCACCCTGCCTTAGTAGGGATCGGCCGATGTGTTAAAATAATAATAATAATAATAATAATAATAATAATAATAATAATAATAGTGAGAAATTATGTATATAAAGTGTTGATGGTCAGTCTTGAATTATTAAACAGTTTATGGAGAAGATAAGTAACACAGACATAACACTTACTGATATTAGTTGTACCTCCAGATGGGTAGGAAAAAAAAAGGGTTATAATAATGACCATAATTTTTTAAGGGATGGGGTGGGAAGCCAGCGGAAGGCCTCGGTCAGATGACCAAAAACTCCAGCGGGAGGTTATTATATAACTAAAACCTGACTAACTTGACCTAACTTAACCTTTCAGTAGTTATTAATTAAATGTAAACCAGTTACACTGGTTAATTATATCCATGGACTGTATATGGATTATTAATTATCTGACTACTAATTAGTGGAGAATGTATATAATGTATATAAATTACATATATCAATTTTATATTGCATAATTGCATCATTATAAATGTATTTAATGAAGAGTTACCCAGATATTTCTTGGGTCGCTCATCCTAACGCTTCCCTAACATATATATACTAGATGCTACCCAACATAACAATCTAACATATATATACTAGATGCTACCCAACATAACAATCTAACATATATATACTAGATGCTACCTAACATAACAATCTAACATATATATACTAGATGCTACCCAACATAACAATCTAACATATATATACTAGATGCTACCTAACATAACAATCTAACATATATATACTAGATGCTACCCAACATAACAATCTAACATATATATACTAGATGCTACCCAACATAACAATCTAACATATATATACTAGATGCTACCCAACATAACAATCTAACATATATATACTAGATGCTACCCAACATAACAATCTGACATATATATACTAGATGCTACCCAACATAACAATCTAACATATATATACTAGATGCTACCTAACATAACAATCTAACATATATATACTAGATGCTACCCAACATAACAATCTAACATATATATACTAGATGCTACCTAACATAACAATCTAACATATATATACTAGATGCTACCCAACATAACAATCTAACATATATATACTAGATGCTACCTAACATAACAATCTAACATATATATACTAGATGCTACCCAACATAACAATCTAACATATATATACTAGATGCTACCTAACATAACAATCTAACATATATATACTAGATGCTACCCAACATAACAATCTAACATATATATACTAGATGCTACCTAACATAACAATCTAACATATATATACTAGATGCTACCCAACATAACAATCTAAACATATATATACTAGATGCTACCTAACATAACAATCTAACATATATATACTAGATGCTACCCAACATAACAATCTAACATATATATACTAGATGCTACCTAACATAACAATCTAACATATATATACTAGATGCTACCCAACATAACAATCTAACATATATATACTAGATGCTACCTAACATAACAATCTAACATATATATACTAGATGCTACCCAACATAACAATCTAACATATATATACTAGATGCTACCTAACATAACAATCTAACATATATATACTAGATGCTACCCAACATAACAATCTAACATATATATACTAGATGCTACCTAACATAACAATCTAACATATATATACTAGATGCTACCCAACATAACAATCTAACATAGAATTAACCGAGATGTTTACGTGAGGTGTCACCTTCTCAGATACTGCCGCCTCTCTTATATTCCACTTTTCAGTTTCACTGTAGCCGAGTCACTCTTATATTTCACAATTACAGGAACCCACGATGTTTACTTATTTCGTGGTCCACCATTCACGCCGATACGTCCCTTATCGGGCGTGATTAAAACAAATTTTACACAAATTAGTTTATGCTACGCCATATTTCGACGCCACTCAACCTGTGAGTTGGTTCTCTCCTGGCTAGAATTTTTTCTAAAAGTCACAATAGATTTTTTTAAACAGTGTTACATTATTTAGTATTTACACACTGATTTCAGGAAAATTACAAAAAAAAAAAATCGGTGCTGACCAGTCGGGTTGCGGCTCCTCCGTCGGTTTGCGTACTGCCAACAGTAACAACCA